GGAGGTTGCTGCAGATAGGTTGTGTAAGAATAGTTTCGTGTGTACGTCCAGTAGTGTAGGTAGGTTGTGTACAACAGGTACATCCCCTAGTGCAGGTCGGTCGTGCAGGGTAGGTCGCGTAGGGTTAGCCCGGCGTAGGGTGGGTCAGGAAGGGAGGCCGTGTAAGGAGACCATGTAGTGCAGGTCACATAGGGAAGGTATGACCGGAATTGCTGGTCGGTCGGGTAGGGTAGGCCGAATAGGGGTCATGTAGGAAAGGTTTGTCTGGTACTGAACGCAAGTCGCATAGGGTAGGCACATCGGGTTGTCAAGGTAGGTTGTGTAGAGCATGTACATCCAGTTGTGCAGGTAGGTTGCATTGGTGAGTCACCTAGGGAGGTACCAGACAACAGGTATTGTTTGCGTGACGATCTGGGCCCTTTGCGAGAAGGTAACAACAGAGCCTGTGTTGCAGACAGCAGTTTGTGATGATTTGTGGATGGAATGAGAGTGATTTTTTTTATTTTTTTTATTTTTTAACACACACACACACACACAAGAGAGAGAGAGAGAGAGAGAGAGAGAGAGAGAGAGAGAGAGACAGAGAGAGAGAGATGCAGGGGCCAGGGGCCAGAGGGGAAGGTCGTCTTGTTTTGCAGGTTTCTTGTTGTTTGATTTTTTTTCCCCTTCTACATTGAATATGATGTTGCCTCTTCTACTTTACTGTCTAACTATACCGTTTTTGTTTTATGTATGGTTTGTGATGATTCGTGGATGGAATGAGAGGGAGAAATTGTTTTTCTTTTTAACAGAGAGGGAGAGAGAGAGAGCTAGCGGGAGAGAGAGAGAGAGAGTCAGTCTCGTGCGTGAGAGAGAGAGAGAGAGAGAGAGAGAGAGAGAGAGAGAGAGAGAGAGAGTCTTATGGATTTCCACTGTTCAGGATATTACCGTTTTGTTTAGCTGTCTTTTCTTTTTCTACATGTGAACCTCTTTGTCAGACAGAGAGAGAGCGAGAGAGAGAGAGAGAGAGAGGGCGCAAAACACGAGGCAACTGCTGAATTCAAGAACGTATGCAAATCGGAACTGCTCTTCATGACGCGTTTCCACCTAACATCCTAAGATTTCGGCCGTCTTTAACTTTGCGTTGCTTCTGTGTTTGCAATACTTACCGATTTCATTAAACTGTCACCACCTCATTTCTTAAACGGTAATGAATTGACAACACTTCAAACTCTTTGACCATCTGCTGGATTTCTTTCTTTCTGAAAAGAACAGGTTTTTCCGCTTCTGGTTATTTGAAGGATCAGTGGCAGTTTGAATATATTAGAGAAATTTGTGCCGATTTCATTGCTTAGTGCCCAACCGCAATGCTGCAAGAATCAAGTTCGAAGTTGGATTAGTATTTACAAATAATATATGACCATGAAAGATGCAGACAAAGAAATGAGTGTTCCTGATAGTCACAGTAAAGGGACGGGGATGAGTGTTCCTGACACGTCTCCATCACAGTGGAGGGACGGGGATCCCCCGTCCCTGCACTGTGATGGAGACATGTCGGGAACCCCAGTCCCTCCACTGTGATGGCGGCATGTCAGGAAACATTCATTTCTTTGTCAACATTTTTTTACCTTTGAATTCGATTCTTGCAGTGTTGGTCAATGACCAATGCTTAATCGTCTTTCCCCTCCTCCTCCCTGGCCCTCGCCCACACCCTCTGTCTGAACTGTACTCTTGCCAGTCTGTTCTGTGTGCACCAGCTCAGTGTTCCTATGCTCCCCGACCCTGCACAAACGTCTTCATTACCCAGTTTGCCTAGTCTTAAACGATTAATACCTTTCCCGCGTGGGAAAATAGGGAAAACTGGCAGTTTTCACAAACTCCTGAATATTCGGAGGTCGGGCCCGACGGCGACTGCCATTGATAAATCTGATCGGCAGCCGTCATTTCGTTTCGGCCTCTGAAAAGGTCGTACGCCTACCCGAGGCCCGCTATTTTCCCACGCGGCAAAGGTACTAGTGGTTTAAGGCCTGCCCAATTCTACAGGATGCATTCTTTCTGCTTTACCGCCTCCTTCATGTTCGAAGAAGACTCCATGATTGACGCCGGTCTCCGCTGTTCTGACCCTATACCCCTTCCTCGCCCGGGCGGAGCTGCGCTAGTCTTTCTTCTTCTTCTTCTTCTTCTTCTATAACCCTACTGTGTCCTTGCTGTAATCGTTGTTGATTTGGTTCCTTTGATTTTTGCCAACAGGACATGCACTGAATCCGAGAGGGAATTCACATGTCGAATGGTGGAGTATGCGAAAGAGTCTAGTGCTGATGCAGACAAGGCGAACGAAGGGCTTCTCAGCGCTGTTTATGGTAAGTGAGAACACTGAGAAGGGACATGATTCCACAAACGACCTTGTCTGAAATCACAATTTGTCAGGCACTGAGAGAACGAAAATGGTATTCGGTCGTCCTCCATTTCAGCTCCTCCACATCATCCTTATCCTCTTCATCCTTCTGCCTCGGATGCCAATATCGCCCAGCCTCCTGAAAAGTAAGGGAAGGGCCATCATCACACTTGCACAGAGGTTTTTGATGTTTTCAACTTTTCGTCCTATTTTTCCATGTCTTTTTTCTTTTTGTGATCATCGTCCTCTTCATCCTTCTGCCTTGGATTCCAATTTCCGTCAGCCTCCAGAGAGTACAAGAAAGACCTCATCACACTTCACTGCACAGGGGTTTTCATGTTTTTGTCGTTATCCATATTCACCTCCTGCTTCAGATCCTGTCCTGGCGGTACACACAGAGAGAGAGAGAGAGAGAGAGAGTAGGCAGGCACACATGCAACGTTTGCTGATCACATACGTACTTAGGAAACTGCAACATACTTAGGCGGTACCTGTTGTCTTGCAAGCGAAGCTGCAACAAGTTGTCTAGTTTCATTTTTTTGGGGCTGCCACCATTTTTTGTTGGGTCCACAGGGTTGGCAGCTGGAACAGGTACAATCTTTTTTGGGGGGGAAATTGGGAGGGAAGGGTGGCCGGGGGGGGAGCGGGGGTCATTGTGGGTTTCCCTCGGTCTTGTGGAGCAGGTGACCCAGGCCAAATACTCACCCACCTGTCACCCACCCGGTTGGGTGACCCAGGCCAACCACTGACCCGTCCATCTCCCACCCAGGGCCAGAGGCTGACCCACATGTCACACACGCAGTCAGGTGACCCAGCCCAAACACTGACCCGCCCATCACCCGCATCTAGGCCAGCTTACCTCGACCCACCCATGCGCAACCCAGGCTGGCTATTCCAGAGACTTCACTGGACACATTTAATCAGCTGGAGGGACAGGCGGTGTGCACAGAGGGCAGGGATGTAATCAGGGTGAGCGACATTGCAGATGTTACTCATGAGTGTTACGCATCGCCGTACAATGCAGAACTGCCTTCCGATTTGTGTTTAAGCGTCGCTCTAGCGAAGATGAGCAACGGGTACCAAGACCCACACCCATCCCACCCACGAGGCATTGGGTCCGGTGTGGGTCTTGATAAGCTGGCATGGGTGGGATGAGGGTGGATGCGGGTGGGCCAGCCTGTATGCGTGGGGGTGACGGGCAGGTCAATGTTAGGCCTGGGTCACCCGAATGGGTGGGTGATGTCGTGTTGCTATGGTGGGTGTAAATATTCGAAGGGACTGATACGATGGGGAATGGGTGGGTGTGGGTGGAAAATAATCAGGTACTGGGTGCGGGGGGGTAATGTTGTTCTTGCTGGTGTGGGTGGGTCAGGGCGACGGGCGGGTTATGTGTGGAAGGAAAACTTCAAAAAAAAAGCTTGGTGTGGGTGGGTCAGGGTGATGAGCGGGTTGGGTGTGGACGGGAAACTTCAAGAAAAAGCATGGGTCGGTTTGGGTGAAGTGTGCCTATTCATTCAGTAAATAAGTAAATAAAAAATGTGAATCTCTTTGCTCAGTGTCCACAGCTGCAGAGCGAGTGCCCCACGTTTTCTGGTTATTACCATTGTTAAGACAGTTGCGTTATGCAACGGTTGAACCTGCCGAATCATGTTCATCACACTGCGCACTCTTGTGTGTGTTTCTGTGCAGAGGGTCATTCGAGAGACCAGGAGATGGCTGAGCAAGTCCAGGCTGGCCTGGAAGATAGGCACAAAGCAGCAGACTGTTTCTTAGACAACCACACTCAGCATGTTGCTGAGCTGAAGACCTCTGTGGAAAGCTTCTTCGAACACGAGATCCAGGTAAATGTTCACTTTTCTTCTGTCTGTGAAATGCTACGGATAACCAGGGTATTTAATACAATGGAAGTCAGGAACATATTGGAATGGGGAACGGTGTAGGAGAAATTTCATCATTATGGAAAATATGTCCACCAGAAAGTCCAGATGCTGATTTATGGTCCAAATTTAAGGAAATCTGCAAACATTGTGAGGTCTGAGTTCCAAAGTCACCAATATTGTTTTGTCCCTGTGTGTGTGTGTGTGTGTGTGTGTGTGTGTGTGTGAGAGAGAGAGAGAGAGAGAGAGAGAGAGAGAGAGAGATGCAAGTGTAGGGAGCGGGGATGAAGAGCGTGAAGTACCGGAAAGAAATGCTGGTTGTTGAGAGAGAGAGAGAGAGAGAGAGAGAGAGAGAGAGAGAGAGAGAGAGAGAGAGAGAGAGAGAGAGAGAGAGAGAGAGAGAGAGAGAGAG